GGGTCCTGGGATCTCAGAGGGGCTGCAGAGGCTGTGCAGTACCTTCGGAGGTGGCCAAAGGAAGAAGAGGGGTAGGCCCTGCCCACAGCACACTGGCTCCATGACCTCAGAGTTCAGAGTGACTCTCCTGCAGCACACCCCTTGCAGGGCACCACCCATTTCCCAGACTCCTCACTGTCAGGTTCAAATTCCACCTGGCAGAATGCTTCTCTGCATTTCCAGGTGAAGCCCAGGAATACATAGCAGCCCTGGGAGCCGACCATGTCCCTGCATCGTCTTCCTGCCTGGCTCATCATCGTGGCATATGGGCTCCTGATGCTCCTCATCCAGGGCCAGGGTGAGGCTGCCATGGGTAGGGTGGTAGAGACCAGGTTGCAGCTGCCAAAGTGCCCAGAGACAGAGCCTGAGCCTGGAGGGAAGGCACCAGGGCGGGGGAGTTGGTCGAGGAGACAGATGAAGGGGATGAGGGGCAGGAGGGTGAGCCAGAGAGGGTCAGAGCTGCCTGAGGACACCCCCATGGAGGAGTGAGCTAGTGTGAGGGGATTCTGAGGAGCACAGTATGGGCAAGTCAGAAGCCTCCTGGCAAAGGAACAGGGATAGGGACCTTTCCCTCCTGTGTGTGGCTGTGGCTGTAGCTACTACTCATCCTTGGATAATAACAACAGCAATAAGAAGAGCTTGCTGGTTACATTTGGCTCTGAGTGTTTTGACCCCTTGGCCAGAGAAGTGCTGGCACATTTTGTAGGGTCCATAGGCAAGGTTATTGGTCCTGAGGGATACAGAAGTCCCTGGTACCACTTCTCAAAGCTAATCTGAATGACTATTGATATCCTTTCACTAGCGAACCCAAGCTAGCATGCCTTGGATTGTGTTCTGGGACAAAGGGGATGTACTATATACCTGCTAGAAGTCTCTAGGCCCTTATCAGAAGGTGCTGGCATAAGAGAACCAAGCCCAGGGAGTGTCAGCAGCCCTGGATCCCTTCCACACCAAAGGCTCCTATTGTGGATGTTGGACATAGACCCAACTTTCCCAGTCTAATCTGCACAGAGGAATCCATGTTAACCTTTCCCCCTTGGACCACCACTGATAGGCTTCCTCCCTTACCTGGGGCTGAGAGAACCATAATTTTATCAGCAAGAAGATTTCTTTACCTTCACTGAAAGATTCTATTTTCAACAGTCTTTTTTCTTGAACTCACAACCAAAAAAAAAAAAAAAAAAAAGACCTGAGTCCAGAGAGGATATATAGAATTGAGTCCCACAGTCTTCTGCCCACCCAGTCCTGGCTCCTCCACAGGCCCATCTAGGTCTTGAATAGGGTCCAGGTCTTACACACTACTCATCTTTGTCTCTCACCTAAATGGTCACGAACCCATCTTTTCTTGTGTGATCTTTTCCTCATCTTGACACGGGGACACTTCCCACCACTACATACATACATGGGTGAGATTCCTCCTGCTGGTTCATGCAGGCCTTGTGCTCAAGGAAGCAGCGACATTATGTCATCAGACTGTGAGCAGGAATATTTAGTAGGCTTTGTCCTTTGTAGTAAGTAATATCAGGCATTAGTGGCCAGTCACCACATGAGTTACATGGACCACGATCCCTCTGGCATGGCATTGTGTGGAGACAGCATGTTGGTAGGGACAGGAGTGTGTCTTTGGACTTGGAGGGATGCTGGCCAATTTCCTTCTCTGGTCCTGTGAGTGGCTGCTGCCCTGGCCTGACCTGTACCAGGGAGCATCAAACATGCAGATCCTAGGGGATCTGGTGAGAGAGAGGAGGAGGTTTGGAGTTTTAAATTTTTTCTTATGGAAACAGCTCAGATCTACCACATTATAGAGTGAGAACTTGAACCTGGGGGAGGGAAGGACCCAGTGATGTGGGAGCTGGGGAGATGACAACAATAGCAGGAGAACTGTGGACCTGACTGCCAACTCTCTGCACCCTGAAGCACAGAGAAGACTGGGGCATCCTGAGGGCTGCACAGCACCCAAGTGTGGACCCATTCTGCAGAAGAGACAAGAGTTAAATGCAACATGCCCAACATCAACCTTTACCCAAATATCATGACTTGGACAAGCCAGATATATCTAGGTTGACTTTTGGTTGCCTCCTTGCCTTGATACCCAACCCCAGGCAGGACAATTTTGTATGGTCTGAATTCATAGCTCCCTTCCTAATGTCTGTTTCTCTTTACATGAATGATTTTTCTTTATGTCATGTCTTGTCTTCTCAAGCATGAGATCCTTAAGAATGGGAAACTTTAGTTCCATTCCCACAGTCCTCCTAGTGCATGACATGACCTGGCACAGTGAGTGCAATGGACACTCCTGCCCCATCAGCCCAAAAGACATTCTGCTGGCAGTTGCTAGGGCTGAAGGATCGTGGCAAGACACAGGAGCCTGGTGAGTCTGAAGGAATAGTCTGTGAGCCAGTCGAGTGATAGTGGTGGTGGTGATAGGGACTAGGGATGAGCAGAAAGATTCTGAAGCGAAGGTTGACAGATCAGGGTTCCTCTACAAGGCTGAGCTAAAAAGGGCCAACCAGGCCCCATGCTGCAGGTCAGCAGCTGAGTGGGCAAACCTGAGCCTGAAGTACATCTCTCTGCCCACAGGCCAGGACTCAGTCAGCCCCATCCGGATCACCCACACCGGGCAGGTGCGGGGCAGTCTCATCCACGTGAAGGGCACCGATGCGGGGGTCCACACCTTCCTGGGAATTCCCTTTGCCAAGCCACCTGTAGGACCACTGCGCTTTGCAGCHCCTGAGCCCCCTGAACCTTGGAGTGGTGTGAGGGATGGGACCTCCCACCCAGCCATGTAAGTTCTCCTGGAGTCTGGGAAACCTCAGGGCTGGGGTTGGGGTGGGTAATCCGAGCCCTGGGCCAGGCTGCTTTGGCTCCTTCATCTAAACTGCACTGCAAGGCCTGGGGCTGTAGGTCAGTGGTAATGTGTTTTTTGCAAACTAATGCACTGGCTTTGAAACCCAGGCCCTAAATGAACAAATATATCCCTCTGCATTGGGGCAATTCCACACTCATTCTTCCAATGCAAGAGTAACTTTGCCAGGCCCCTGGCTCAGGGCTTGGAACCCAACAGGCATTACCTCCAGGTGTTGAACACAAGAGCAGAAACACATGTCCCTGGATATGGCTTACTCCAGGTGATCTCTCCCACCAGGGGAGATGTGTCTGGAAGAGGGTCGGCTTGGCTCTCTGAACCTATAAAAGACCTTGACTCCAGCAGTCGATGCTGCAGATCCCTGAGGAGGGCAACAGTGGTGGCTCCTTGGGGACCCCACCCACAGGGCCAAGGGAAAGGAGCATGTGCTTACAGCTCAAGAGTCAGTGGAGGGGTGAGGTTTTCTGAGAGCCTCAAGTTGGGCTGTGGGATGCCCCATTACCCTTCTGTGAGAACTAACCTCCATCCACTCAGGCACCACCTGTGTGGGGACACCTATGCTGTTCCAGGCCAGAATGGGGACAGGGATAAGTGGTGAATGTCAACAGGGGCAGCCAGGGTTTCCCAGACAGGGCCCTAGAGTCAGGATTGCCCAGCTTCAGAAGGAGGTGGAATCAAGTGCTCCACAATCTTGAGGCCTCCCTGGGGGTGGGGAATCCATCCCTGCTTCCCCAGAGCCTGTGGCCTGGAACTCAGTTGGAAATGACTTGAAAGAAAGATCATGTGAGGCAAGGCATCAGTTAAGGCAGGGAGTGAGGTTGTCTGGGATCAAGTCAGGACCTGAGGTCTGAATTGACCACTGCTCAGCCCCTGAAATAACTGTATTCCATTGTCACCAGGTGTCTGCAAAATACAGATAAAATGAATACAGAGGATCTGAACCTACAACGAATACTACAAAGTATAAACTTGCCTCCCGTCCCCATGTCAGAGGACTGCCTGTACCTCAGCATCTACGCGCCTGCACATGCCCGTGGGGGCTCTAACCTGCCTGTGAGTGTTAAGTCATGGTCAGTTGAAGGGTGGGAGAACATTTCTTTGAGAAAACGATTAGAAGTGGTCTTGGGACATGGTTCATGTTAGAGAGCTAGCACAATGCTGTGAAGCCCTGGGATTGACCCCAGTACTACATAACAATACCAACGACACTGGAAGACATCAGCTGGCCACCACTGTGGTGTGGACTACCATGTAAAGTTTCTCACTATCAGCTCTAAAAAGGCCTGTTATTCAGACAGGAAGTTCACCTAGGCATGGAGTCAAAGAGCCCTGGAAGCTCTCAGAGGCCAAATGTTCTGACCCACTGATCAACTCACCAGCTTCTACCCAGGCGATCCCATTCAGGTGCCCAAAAGCTGCACTTTGAGATCACTATATTCCACGACCATCATTTACTTTGAGGGACAGTGATTGGAAGACACTTTAAATTAATGTTCAAGTGAGGTAATCACAGAAACATCAATTTTCTTTTCTTTTCAGAGTAGTTCTGAGAGGAATAGATCCAGGTTCTGCTTCCTGGTTAGACTCCAAAGTATGGGAGGCCTGATCTTCCAAATTGAACTTACTCTGTCACCAGTACCCTAGGTCATAAAGTTTTACTAGCATTCTGGGTGAACAGCTACACAAGCCAAAGTGGTGTTCAGACTCGGGCTTCAGCCAGGATCAAGTTGGGCAGGGTAGCCACACATGGTATATCTCCTGATTTCCCAGGTGATGGTCTGGATCCATGGTGGTGGCTTGGTGATGGGCTCAGCTTCCATGTATGATGGTTCTATTCTGTCAGCCATTGAAAATGTACTGGTGGTCACTATCCAGTACCGCCTGGGAGTTCTGGGCTTCTTCAGGTGAGCCTGGGACAGGGATGGTCCATGGGGCTGAGTAGACAGAGAACCAACCATTGATCATCATCCTTGAATTTCTCAGCACTGGAGACCAGCATGCCACTGGCAACTGGGGCTACCTGGACCAAGTGGCTGCCCTACGCTGGGTCCAGCAGAATATCGCTCACTTTGGAGGCAACCCTGATCGCGTCACCATTTTTGGCGTGTCTGCAGGTGGCACTAGTGTGTCCTCACTTGTGTTGTCTCCAATGTCCCAAGGACTCTTCCATGGTGCCATCATGGAGAGTGGGGTGGCCCTGCTGCCTGACCTTATCACCAGCTCATCTAAAGTTGTCTCCACAGTGAGTATCCTTTACTGCCCGAGGCCAAATCTGCAGACTCACCCTTTAACTTCAGAGCCTCTGCCACTCTGTCTGTTCCATGGGAACAAAGACCATGCAGGTGTCTCTGGAACTTGCCACCACAACAGGGATTCTGAGGAGCTCAAAGGTCAGAATCACACACCTCTGCCTCAAGTAGTTGATTTTGCTCCAGTTTGATCTACAAAGCTGCACCTTGGGGGCCTCCTCCTCAGAAGACCCATGTAAAGCAGGTGTGATGGCTCCTCTGGCTGACACCTGAGCTTCAGGGAAGGTGGAAGGATTTCATATTTGCTGGAATACACAGATGGCTCCCTTTGAGAATTATGGGTAACCCAAACACAGCTGAGACCTTAGGCAGCAACCCCCTCCCTGTCTGTCGGATGATTCAGCCTCTTTTTGGTGCCTTTACAGATGGTGGCCAACCTGTCTGCCTGTGGGCAAGTAGAGTCAGAGGCCCTGGTGAGCTGCCTGCGGGGCAAGAGTGAACAGGAAATGCTGGCTATTACCAAGGTGGGCTGAATGGACGTCAGTGAGGAGACAGGGGTTATGGTGGAAGGAAAATACAGTGCTTTCTACTGTAGAACTATGATCTCATTTCCAGGGCTTGGTCTTCTTGTATCCTCATAGTCCTGGATGGGAATTGAGATAAAAATATGCTGAACCAGGTGTAGAATCTCTGAATGTATCATGGGTTGAGTTAGGATGGTTTGGAGGTAACTCATGTGTTATTAAAAAAGAGACTTTCCTTCCCGTAATCATGGACTTTGAATGCCCCCTTAGCCCTTCAAGATCATTCCTGCTGTGGTGGATGGGGCCTTCCTACCCAGGCACCCCCAGGAGCTTCTGGCCTCTGCTGATTTTCAACCTGTTCCGAGCATCATTGGTGTCACCAATGATGAGTATGGCTGGGGCATTCCAATGGTGAGTCCCCTCTCCAAACTGCCACAATAGTGTCAAGTGTGAGCGGCTTTAGACTTTGTAGGTCCTGTTCATCCCACCCCAACTATAAACTTCACTTCACCACACAGATCTTGAGCCCACCTGAAATCCAGAAAGACATAGACAGAGAGACCATGCAAGCTGTTCTGCAGAGAATAACAGCACAGAGGGTGAGACTCCTGGGGTTCTGGGCCAGGCAGAGTGCAGCCAGTCTCTCTTCCTTTTCAGCAATGACCATGAACCAAAATTGATCTATGTGATTTGTGGGTGGAACCACTACAAAGCTTGACAGCATTACCCTATTCCCTGACACATCCCAAACACCAATCCCTGCCCTCTAAATCCTGCCTCCCTGCCCCAGAGATTGCTTAACATGATACTCCCTGATCCCCTGGACTAGATGAAGTTGCCTGCCGAATGTGCTGACCTATTGATGGAGGAGTACATGGGAGACAATGAGGACCCCCACACCCTCCGACTCCAGTTCCACGAGATGATGGCGGACTTCATGTTTGTGATGCCTGCACTCCAAGTAGCACATGATCAGAGTGAGTGTATCTGAACCTGAATCCTGGCTTCCTAGGAGACAGCTCAGAGCTGTGGGTCCCAGGTGAGGTCTGGTGTCAGGTCCTGACACATGTCTTTATCCAGACCCTGGTCTCAGGCACCTACCTAACGGCCCTCATCTCAGTAAATCCTTATGGCTAGAGTAAGAGATAGACATCACACTAATTTTACAGAAGAGGGAACAAAGGTAGTAGCAGTCAAGGACTTGCCTGTGACCACACTTCCAGGAAGTCCAAGATATGACTTAACAAAGAGCCTTCCAACTGCCCCTGATCCATTCTGGGCTTCCAAGCCACTGTGAAGACTCAAGTCAGTGTTGGACCTAGCAATCTTGACACCAAGAGTGACACATCCTGTCCACCCTCCAGGTTCCCATGCTCCTGTCTACTTCTATGAGTTCCAGCATCGGCCCAGCATGTTTAAGGACATGAGGCCGCCACATGTGAAGGCTGACCATGGTGATGAGTTCATCTTTGTCTTTGGGTCCTACTTTAGTGGCATGAGAGGTGAGTTCTCCTTGTTCCACAGGAGCATTCTCCTGGTTACAGGGTGGCAATTACTCTCATTGTACAATAAGAATCTGTAGCTTAGAGAGAACGTGAGATCCAGTGTCTACCATCTTACAACAACAGATCATTAAGGATTAGACCTTTCCCAGTCCAAGCTATGCTCCTTCCACCTGTTACCACCCAACTTTGGTGTCTAGTATAGGAGAAGATGGGGTTGGGTAAAAGCCAAATCATTTCTTAAATGATTTCACAGTGTCCAAAACAAGTAAACTTCTAGGCCAAGGAGAGCCCAGTGTTGGGCTGGGAGTAGTAAAGGCAGGTTGGGCAAGCAGAGGGCCTGGCCCCCAAGACTGTTGGGAGAGGGAAGGGACATAAGCCTGGGACTAGGGTGGTGATGTGGCACAGGAGTGAACAGCTGGATGGGTTGGCCAGGATCTGGAACCTTGCCTTCCTCCTCCCACAGTGGAGCTCACTGAAGAGGAGGAGCTGTTGAACAAGAGGAWGATGAAGTACTGGGCCAACTTTGCTCGAAATGGGTGAGGACACCTGCACCCCTCAGGCTCCCAGAGGGCACAGACCCTCCAAAGCTCCCCTTATCTGAGGTGACCCCCATTAGTAAATGTGTGTCCTTCATCACATCCTAGCCCCCTCTCCAATGGGAAAACTCACACTAAAAGAGGGTGCTTTGTGGGTACAGGTCACTGGTCTCTTCTCACAGTGGTACAAAGGGTGAGCCATAGTGCTAGGCTATGGGAGCCAGCCTCTCACAGGAAGGGCAACACAGGGCAGGCTAGTGACACTAGTGAGAGGTCATTACTTTCCTACATCAGGACACCTCTCCCCATTCTCAACACCTCTGTGTGCGTGGCTGGCTACCCTGTCCATAATTGGGGTTTAAGGTCAGGTCTGAGTTCAACAGAGCTCAGACTGACCCTCGCCCTGCCATGCTGGGAGGGCATGTGCACAGGAACCCCAATGGAGAGGACCTACCCCAATGGCCACTGTTCGACCAGGACCAGCAGTACCTGCAGCTGGACATCCAGCCTGCTGTGGGCCAGGCCCTGAAGGCACACAGGCTGCAGTTCTGGACCAAGACCCTGCCTCAGAAGATCCAGGAGCTAAAGGGGGCTGAGGACAAGCACACAGATCTCTAAGTTCCTTGTCAGGAAGAGAGGGGTGTGCTAGGTATGATGGGGTCTTCCTGTGGTGCCCACACATGCCCACCCAAGAACCAGGGTTCACCCACTCATTCACATAGCTATTCCTCCATCCACTCCGCCATGGGTCCTCTCCTGTTAGACACACTCAGTAATTCCCAATGTAAGCCCACCTTCCTCCTCACCCCACTGTGCCTGAGTCCCTCCCTCCCTTCCTCCCCTCTCCTTCCCTACAACCCCTCCTATCCCATCCTCCTAGTTGCCACACCCTCCCATGCTGACAGAGAAGTTTGAGGAAGCAGAGCTGGTACTTTTCCAAATCCCTTGCCCACCTCTCAGCAAGTACCCATGTTCTCATACTGATGGGACCTCTGTAGAAAACCTGTACACCAGACGCCCCAGTGTTTCACTCCATCAGGCTCCTGTAACAACAACAACAACAGCAACTACAACAACAACAGTAATAATGTAGTGAGGCACGGTGGCACATGCCCATAATCCAAGCCACTCAGGAGGCTTAGGGAGAAGAACTACATACTCTGCACAGGCTGGCCACTTGGGGAGACCTGAGCTCAAAATAAAATAACTAGTTCCAGGAGAGTAGCCCAGTGGTAGAGTACTTGAGAAGCATGCACAAAGTCCCGGGTTTGATCACAGTGCTACCACCAAAATATCAACAAATAAACACAATAAACTCGGTAGCTTATAAACAATGCAAATGTGCTGTCTTCTGTGTTGGAGGTGACAAGCCCAGAATCAAGATGTTAGCCGATTTGTTGTGTGGGGAGGTCTTGCTTTGGTTTCTAGATGGCACCTTCCCACTATGTCCTCACTTGGCAGAGGGGCAAACAAGTACTTTTGGGCTTATTTTACAGTTCCTAAACACAGTCCCTTCCCAATGATTCATCACTTTCAGACTGGCTTTCTTTCTTTTTCAATCAAAGCCCAGGTAGTAGACTGATTTTATTAGTGATGTATTTTGTATGTGGTTGTGTTTGTTTGTGTGTGTGTGTGTGTGTGTGTGTGTGTGTGTGTGTGTGTGTTGGGGATTGAACTCAGTGCATTAGAACTTAATGCACTAGAGTTTAGAGAGTGCCAGGCAAGCACTCTACCAACTGAGCTCTATCCCCAGCCCATGGAGACTGGCTTTCAATGTATGAATTTGCAGCACAAAAACTTTCAGGCCAAACACTTAGAGTTCCCACATCTAACCCACCCAGGCTACAAACAAAACCGGAGTTCCATATCCCTGAGCCCACCTGGAGACTAAATGTCATCCTTCATTAACATTTAAATTTACATGCATACTCATCTATTTCTATCCCAAGGAGGTGACTGGCCCCATCCTTATGAGAAGCAGGACTGGGCTTTTCCATTGGCTTCTGGAGCCTGGGCCAGCTGGGTGCATCCTGGAGAGCCAGGTGGGGTCCTCAGGGTCCTGTCTCCTGAAGTTGCCTCTTATTCTCTGTGGCTCTGCAGACACTGTGAGCCCCACACTGACACAATCACAAGACAACTGTGAAGGTGTTTCTTTCTGGGGTGTCCTGGAAGAGGCCTTGACATGTCAGGAGGTCCAGACACATAGCAGTAAAGATTCTTGTCCCTGGCTCCCTGAGGATCTCTCCATACAAAATCTTTCAGAATTCCTCTGCAGCCTCCTAACCATCCCCCACTCACTATGGCATCCACATGATTGACTTTCCCTCTCACCTCATTGATGTCCCTAAACTTTTTTGGCCCCTCCAATAGAAACCCTCTCATCTTTTATCTCAGTAATCAAAAGTGCCAAATGAAGCTCAACATGCCCTTTTGTTCCTCCAAAGCATTTTCTCTCTGTCATGGAAAGGCTGAGTCCCTCACTCCATGGACCTTGGGACTCCCCCTATAACCTCCCTCTCACCAACTTGCCTCCATGGGGCACCAGTTTTCCCAACAGAGAAACTCTCCCCTTTCACCCAGTGCATTTAAGCCCCACCACAGGGCACCAAGGCCTTTAGGGCTAAAGATGAAGATTGCCGTGTTTCCCATCCTGGACACTAGGGGGCAGACTGGATCTCTGCAGAGGTGAAAAGACCTTTTAGTTCCTTTTAGTGTACAGGGACTGGTGCATAATCCTTCATCTCTGTGCTGCAAACATCCCTTGTGCTCCTGCTGCAAACATGCCCCTGTATGATTTTCAGTTCTGAGCATGCACAGGATGCTTTCCAGAGTGGGTCCTCAGAGTGTTTTTCAGACTTTCAGTAGTTTCAGTAGCTCTTTTGAAGAGCTTTTTTTTTTTTGCTGGGGGGCAGGTAATGGGGATTGAACTCAGGGGCACTTGACCACTGATCCACATCCCTAGTCCTATTTTGTATTTTATTAGAGACAGGTCTCACTGAGTTGCTTAGCGTCTCACTAAATTGCTGAGGCTGGCTTTGAACTTGCAATTTCTTCTCTTTTGGGGGAGTAGCCTTGCATGTACACATCTGCCACTCTTAATCCAGTTACCAGTTGATGCACATCTGAGTGACTTCCATTTGTCCTCCTCCTCCTCCTCTTCCTTCTTCTTTTTCCCCCCTTATTAGTGGAGACTTAACCCATGGGCACTCTAAAACTGATCTACATATCCATCCCTGTTTATTTTAGTTTGAGTTGGGTGTCACTAACTTGCCCAGGCTGGCCTCCATCTTCCAATCCTCGTCCTTTGACCTCCTTAGTACCTGAATTGCAATTAGTGTACCATCACACCTGGCTTAGGCTATTTTACATAAAACTTGTGGTGGACATTTTCAGAAATCACTTTGTGAACATGTGCTCTTAAATTTTTTTGTTTGTTTGTTTATCAGTAAAGCCCTGAGATTAGAATCCTCTGGGTCAAAACACTGAGATTGAGTGAAACTTTCTTTCTTTCTTTCTTTCCTTCTTTCTTTCTTTCTTTCTTTTTGTCTATATTTTGATGGGGAGGGTACTGTGGGTTTAACCCAGGGGTGCTTCACTACTGACTACAGCCCAAATCCATTTTCTATTTATTTATTTTTTATTTTGAGACTGGGTCTTCCAAAGATGCTGAGGGATTTACTAAGTTTCTAAAGCTCACCTTTAACTCAGAATCCTCCTATGACATCCCCCCAATTTGCTGAGATTATAGGCATATGACACTGCCCAGCTCTGGTTTAAACTTTTAAGGACAATGTCTAGCTATCTCCCAAAATCACGGCATCATTTTTTATCTCATCAACCAAATCTGAGTGTGACAGATGCTCCATATTCTAACCAAAACTTGCTTTTAGATTAGGGGTCTTAAACCTGATGAGATGGAATGGGCCTGTTCAGGAATTTGTCATTGCAGATATTTTCCTGGATTTTTAGCTTTTGCTTCAATTTTCTCTGTTCTCTCTCTCTCTTTCTCTCTCTCTCTCTCTCTCTCTCTCTCTCTCTCTCTCTCTCTCTCCATATATGTCAGTTTTCCACCTCACCCCCCACATGCCCTAATGCTCTGAAGACTCTTCTTCATTCCACAGTTTTACTGTTAGCTTGGGGACCTTCACCAAGAGGTAGACAGCAACTTCCAGGTTAGGAAGGAGCACTGTGTTGTCCAGTTGACATAAAGGAGCTAATAACATGACTATAAACCAGGAGGAGCTGGGAATATCTCAACCTCCACAGCCCCAGCTGTGAACTAGGTCAGGAAATACAGACAGCCTGGACAGGACCTGGGACGGTGGCTTGGACCACAGTGCATTTGATGGAAAACTTTGCATCAACAACAGACCTTGCTGTTTAAGTAGAAGTCGAGGAGAAGCCCAGGACACAGCCACCTGGGAATATTGTCACTCCTAGAAAGACACCAGTAAAGACACTTGCTATCCTGGTGTGCAGGAATGAACCCAGGCTAGATGAAGAAGCCAAGGCCTGTTAGGAGAAGGTACTGAAGGTCATCTGAGGTGSAGCCCACACCCCTTCCTCCAGGAAGTCAGGCAGAGCAGGCACTCCTGTCTCCTGCTGTATTCCCTATGTCCTTGCAGGATTCGAGAAGATTTGACATCTCCTCGTTATGGGCCTATCTCCCCAGCGGCCCCAGATGCCCAAGAGAGCCCTCCAGGTCCACAGGTCCACAGTGCTAGAACCAGAAAGTGCTCAGAATGTTTATCAGGTGCATAAATAACAGAAAACTCAACCTCAGAGGTAGCTATCCTTGAGGAAGCCACAGGGTAGGGGGAGAGCCAGTGAAAGGGGGTGGGTTCTTAAGAAGTGTCACAGTTGCAGTCACCAGTGTATTTCAACAGAGCAGCCAGAACCAAATAAGCACAGGTGTACACAGACCCTCAGACCAGGACTACAAGGACCTTGCAGGGAACTCAGGAAACTGAATGCTGAGAGGAAGAAGGACTTCCCAGCACCAAGGGCACAGTCACACTGCCCAGTTTGCTCAGGCAGTCCCCTTCGTCCCCCAAGGTCATCATTTCTCACCTGTGGGGATCTTCATTTTGTGTCCCCTCAGAGAAGTCCTCCTGGCTCCTCCAATTACAGCCCACTGCTCCCTCCTCTCCACCCCAACACCCTCATGGGCCAGTGTTACGGTTTAGAGAGGAGGTGACCCCAAAGCTCATGTGTGAGACAATACCAGAAAGTTTAGGGGTAACATGATCAGGTTATGAGAGCCTTAACCCAATCATTGATTAATCCCCTGATGAGGGTTCACTGATGGTAACTGTAGCCGTGGAGCTGGAGGAGGTGGGTCACTGGGGTGGGCCTAGGGGTACGTATTTTGTCTTTATTGAGTGGAGCGCTCTCTCTCTCTCTCTCTCTCTCTCTCTCTCTCTCTCTCTCTCTCTCTCTCTCTCTCTCTCTCCTTCCTGGTATGATGTCTTGAGCAGCTCTCCTTCTCTACACCCTTCACCATGATATTCAGCATATCCTTGAGACCTAAGCATTGGACCTGCTGTCTATGGACTGAGAACTCTGAAACCATGAGCCCAAAATGAACTTTTCCTCTTCTATGTTGTTCTTGTCAGGTC